TTTCCCTTCCCTCCCTCCGCAGTAGATTGCTATCAGGAGAAGAATATGAAAGCAGATTTGCCATAGAGCACAACACACTGCAGGTGAAAATATCTGCTTCTGTATTCCAAAAGCTTAAAAATTTCACTTTCCATTCATGAATTATGAATTTGCCTAGGCTTTTGCATCTCATGATATCCTGAAGTAGAAATGGAAAGGATACGCACAGAATAATATTTTGTACATGAAGTGCTATGGCATTCTTGAATCTGTGCCAGGTTGAAAAGGTCACTTATTACTGCTGTCCATATCATAACTTCACAGATGTCCACTGCCAGCAGGAGACTAGTAGTGATGAGATACTGACTTAGTCTAGCAGCTCTAAACCTAATGCATACATGTTCAGTGTGAGATTAATAGCCTCTGAGAAATTAATGTCTTTTCCGTGCTTGCATATGCGCTGCATGGCCTGAATTTTTTACCTCATTCTGTACAAATTCCACAAAACCAGCACTGCCATTCTTATGAATCTCAGAACATTGATCAAATCCCTTAAATTTCTTCTAAAATAATAAATAAGGATTAAAATAATTACAAGAAAAAGCTGGAGAAAAAACAAACGAAGGAGATTTTAAGAAGCTTCATATATAATCTTTCTGTGAGCCATCTATCCAGCTATATTTTTGACAATTGGTAAAATACTGTTTTTAATGGATTGCTCTTATGACCCCAGTAAAGGGAAAAGAAGCTTGTGTCAAGTTATAACAAGATTATTCAGTGGTTTTTGCAAGGGATGTGCAAAAAAAAAAGACCTATCCATGTGAATATGTTTATCCTTCACAGTAGTTTCCCAGCTAGGAAGACTCCATTGGAGTCTTCCAATAGATCCTCTAAACATCAACTTACATTGGAACCACCTGAAAAAAATGAGTGTTTTGGGTTGTTCCCTCCCCACACCCACCCCAAAAATATGGAAGGGCTTGTAGAATGCTTCTGTTGACCCTATGTTGGTTGTTCACAGCTCTGTCTCCTGTCCCAGCATATTTCTCTTTACAGAAATCTAGCTGCATGGAATAATGTTTAGGGACAACTGCAAAAACTTAGAATAAAGAGCATTTCTTATTCAGTTTCATAAAGTAACATATGGCTACTGTGCTGCAGAAAGAATGTCTTGTAAATACAAATGAAAAATCGTAAGCTGCTTATATGACGTGAACATAAAAAGGTATCAGTTTAACACCTCTAAGGTAAGGGTATTATCCCTAGCCAACAATTGAGGAGTGGAGGCCCAAAGAGACTAAGGCAGTTCCTAAAGGCATTTACAGAATCACAGACTCATTAAAGGTGGAAAAGACCTTTAAGATCATCAAGTCCAACCATCAACCCAACACCACCATGTGCACTAAACCATGTCCCAAAGTACCACATCTACATGTTTTTTGAACACTTCCAGTGATGGTGACTGCACCACCTCCTTGGGCAGCCTGTTCCAATGTTTGACCACTCTCTCAGTAAAGACATTTTTCCTAATACCTAGTCTAAACCTCCCCTGGCGCAAGTTGAGGCCATTTCCTCTCTATCGCTAGTTACTTGGGAGAAGAGAGCAACACCCACTTCACCACAACCCCCTTTCAGGTAGTTCTAGAGAATGATGAGGTCTCCCCTCAGGCCCCTCTTCTCCAGACTAAACAACCCCAGTTTCCTCAGACGCTCCTCATAAGACTTGTGCTCCAGACCCCTCACCAGCTTCGCTGCCCTTCTCTGGACACGCTCCAGCACCTCAACGTCCTTCTTGTAGTGAGGGGCCCAAAACTGAACACCGTATTCGAGGTGCGGCCTCACCAGTGCCAAGTACAGGGGCACGATCACTTCCCTACTTCTGCTGGTCACGCTATTTCTGATACAGGCCAGGATGCTGTTGGCCTTCTTGGCCGCCTGGGCATTTATAATTGCCCAGACTAGTACTGCAAAACCTAAGTAATTTGTGTAACTAATCGCATTTACAAAAGTGACAAAGGACCATAAGCTTGTACATGTCAGTGGAGCTAGCACACCTAGATCACATTAAGTAAGCTTGCAGTATTGATTAGAAAAGCCTTAAATATTTAGAAAATATTTTAAATGCATTACTCATGGTTATACAGGAATTTCAGGTGGCAGGTCAAGGAAACCATAATCCCAAGACAACATCCTGAGTGCTGAAACAAAATATGAGGTAGTTCTGCAACAAAAGAATATTGAGCAGCAGTTATTATAAGCAATCCGATTTACATTCTACAAAAATCTTACTGAGCTGTAGTAAACTGGGAGAAAACAAATTAAGAGGATACTTTGCACTCTTTTATGAAAGAAAGGGCTAAAATAAGCAACTAAAATAAGGTATAGCAATTAAGCTGGAAGTAATAATTGAAAGTATGTAATGTATACAACAAGCAAAATTAGGCCAATCAACAAAAAATTATTTGAATATTTTTTTAAGTATCACTTGCTTCAGTGGATACTTTCAGTGATCTTTAAGAATTTAGTCGACCTTCTGCTTCATAGGTTTCTAATCATACAATCCTTTACAGATTTTTAATTATAAAGTAACTTAAATGCTACAGTAACATCATTATGCCTTTTTAAATGTACATTTCAACTTTACCTTGAGCCCTAAATCACATTCCATCAATCACAACTATCAACCAATGAATGAATCTGTACTTTGACTTACACTGCCTTTAATAGTATTTCAAGAAAACATGATCTGTGCAGTATGTTAAAACTTATTTTAACATTACTTCCCTTGATTTATCTAGGGACCACCTGGCTTGCCTGGCCTGAAAGGAGACCCAGGTTCCAAAGGAGAGAAGGTATACTTAATTCATTGTTTGTGCCTTTGTAATTTTGATCCAGTCTAAAAGTCTGTATAAAATTAGCAGAAAGAAACACTAGGGTTTTTGTATCAGAAAGCAAGACAGCTTACTGTGGCTATCAATCAGCTTCCCATAGACTTAATAGTAATTGTTAAGTTCTAAACCACATCTGATAGCCTGCAGATACGTAGAAAGAAAAAGATTACTGCCTGTATGGTAATCTATTGACCACGTGATTCTTACTTGGAATGAAAATCCTAAAGACATTGATGTAGAAGGAACTGTTGGTTTTAAAAAACAAAGTAAGTAGAAATAAAGAGTATTCAATATTTTTATTTTAAAACAACAAACTGTAAATATTTAACAGCTATAATACTTTCTTTTGAAATAATGGGTTGAGACATCCGGGATAGCATTTTCTAATGGATTCACAACAATTTATTGATTGGTTGTGTATCAGAGAAAAACTGCATAGAGAAAGGGATATGAATATGATTATATCTTGTGAATTTCAGTTTTTGTTTATGTGCTTGGATCAGCTGTTTATACAGCTATATTACATGTGGGGAAAAATGTGCAACTCTATAATATGCTTATAGGATCTAAATGTGAAAGTTGGTATGAAATTTGTAACCACAGCTATTGTTATTTCTATATCAGTTTCAGTAAGGACTATATTGCACTTAGATCTCTTTCACTGAATAAGAAGTCACAGCTTGCAAATAATCACAAAGTCTAAAGGCAAACTAATAACAATGAATATACTTTCAGAATAATTTGTTTTCAGGTTAATAGCAAGTGATGACATTTGAAAGCTCTAATTTGTGAGTTTGCAAAGCACATTTATTTTATATATATTGAGTCTTAACTATATTTTCTTCAATCATGTTTAGGGACATCCTGGTTTGATCGGCCTGATTGGACCTCCAGGAGAACAGGGTGAAAAGGGTGATAGGGGTCTTCCTGGCCCACAGGGATCTCCTGGAGCCAAGGGTGATGCAGTGAGTAAAACATACTTGTGCTTTCATTCAAGTTCTGTGCAAGCAAAGAGGAGATATTCCAGTCTTTCTTTCAAGACACGTAAAGTTGGTATAAACATTTAACACCCAGAGCCTCCTGCTGGAGATTAAAACTTTCCTAGGCATTGTACAAACCGTGAAGTTAAACAGCTTAAAACGAGATCATAGAGTGTTTCAGAAGAAAGGAAACATACATCTAAGTTAGGGATGAGGTAAAACTAGCAGCACCAATCTCATCATGTTTATTAACTGCACTACCCAAACTAGCTTCCTTTCTCCTAGTTATTAAGCCACGTTTTAAGGCACTATGTAAAAAGTGAGGTTTCCCAGCCAATCTGAAGGGGAACACAGTCGTAACTATAAGTGCTGCTGTGTAAGAGCAACTACAAGCAACTCAAACCTTCAGATAATATTTTAAACTTACAAACTATTTTGAACCCTAGCAAATGGCCTAAATCAAAACTTGTCAGGATTGGATGTTTAATAGGACCACCTTTTTCATAGATATGCATTTTTTAATCCAGTCCAGTATGTAGAATACTTTAGTTCTGTACTTACTCTCTTATTCGTTCTTAGGGAATTTCTGGTCCTGCTGGTCCACTTGGACCCCCTGGTCCTCCTGGTTTACCTGTAAGTAATTTCATCCAATCCTCCTGTTCAAAACACTTCTGTGTTGTGTGGAATATATTCCAACTATAGCTATATGTTCTTGCCTGTAGGGTCCCCAAGGTCCAAAAGGTTCCAAAGGATCCAGCGTGAGTAATTCTCCTCCATATTTTTTTTTCTTTTACTTAACTTTTGTGTGTGTTATTTTTTTACCATTGTGTAGCATGGTCAACGTTGCATTTCTTTCACTGCTTTATAGGGTCCTGCTGGTCAAAAGGGTGACAGTGGGTTACCTGGTCCACCTGGTCCTCCAGTAAGTAAGAACTCTTATTTAACATGCATACAGATTACACTGACATGATGATCCTGTTTTGCCAAGGGTACAAAACATCATTTGTGAACTTGCAGATAAATTAATTTTCAAAAAATCATTAATATTTTCCTTTTCAGGAAACTCAGATCCACCAGACACAGAAATACATTGTCTGCACTGAAAAAGCCATTAGAAACTTGAAAAAACAATAAAAAACAACCCACAAAAACCTCCACAAACAAAAAACCCCTCTTGCAATAATTATTTAATGTGCTGTATCGAAGCACAGAAAATTGAATGACTTTGTTTTCCCCCTGTTAATACTCTTCCATTTCTACTATTTCTTTTTCATATCATAACAATCTAAAATGAAAACAGTCCAAATCTGAATGAAGTCTTTCAATTTCCTGAAATAAAATATTGCTTTATGGACCCCAAGTGGAATTTTAAAGTTTTATCATAGGAAGTATCCAGTTTTCATTTCTCATAGGTTATGCCTGTGCTTGAGGGAATCACAAGTCAGTTCTGCACACTTAAGTTATGTGAGGACAGTGCACTCCTCCCCAAACAGCAATGTAGTGGGAAGAGTTTAGAGTACGACAGTGCTTTGGCCTTCTACAATCATCTTTTTCTGCAAGTAAATCAAAGCACATAGGCATGAATCTGAAGGAAATAAGTGAAATAAAGAAATAAAGACTTTGAAGAAAGCCTATTCAAAGGATCACCAAGCCGCATTCTGTGGTCTTCCTCTGTGTATTTATGCAGCTGAAAAACAAACAGAAAAGGTAACCAGACATGTTGTTTCTCATTCAGGGTCCTCCGGGCGAGGTAATCCAGCCACTGCCAATCCAGTCACCAAAAAAGACAAGAAGATCTCCTGATTACATGTTATCTGATGCTGGTGATAATATTCTGGATTATTCCGATGGCATGGAAGAGATCTTCGGTTCATTGAATTCTCTGAAGCAAGACATTGAGCATATGAAGTTTCCCATGGGCACTCAGAATAACCCAGCCCGAACTTGCAAAGACTTGCAACTCTGCCACCCAGACTTCCCAGATGGTATGTTAATATTGCATGACAAAGGCAAACAAGGCTGAAGTTATGATCTGCTAAGATACTTTGGCAGAATAATTAATTATTCTAGATGGTTAATATAGTTGCTTAATAAATACAGTCTCATTAAATCCATTTTTGCAGGTATAAAAGTTTACAAAATGTACGTAAGAGGTGTTGTCTTGGTAAAAGCCAAAATTCTTTAAATATATAACCTGATCTGGCTTTAGATTTAGAACTTTTTAAAGTGCTAAATAAAAAAGTGATTGTTTTGAAAGATGGGCCTTGCATTTCCAGAACTATCCAAACAGGAGATGGATGAAAGACTGATGTTATTTAGATCAATAGAAAGTAAAATCACAAATGTCAACATGCTGGGACAACTAACAGCTTTTTTTAAAAGAAATGAAAATTATTTTAGTAACTGTAGACTTTAGCTTAGCATAATAATAAAAAAGAACTTCGGTTTATGTGATATTTATTATTGATTATGACTCTCATAAATGTATTACTCTTTTACCCTTAGAAACAATAATTTGTTCTACTGCATGACCACTGTTCTATACCATTCAGCAAATAGACATGCAAGTTTCTCTGATACTGTTTAATGCTACTAAGTACTAGCTTAATAAAATGCAGAAGAGACAAGAATGAACAAGATACTGTGTTCTGAAGAACTACCTTGATTTAATTATTCTTTGTGGTTTTCTTCTTTTTTTCTAACTGAGTTTACCCCTCTGGAGAGGTTTAAATGAAAGCCAACCTTCACAGAGTTTTCATCCTTTCATTTTTTTTTTATTGCAATGGATATTTTCCCCAGTTCAAAGCAATATTTTTCTGGGTTTAAATGAGAGGAAAAATAGATTTTGATAGTTAATAATATTTTATTGCTTTCACTCTAGATAGATAAAAACAGGTGGTTGCCTTGAGGAGTAGTTAAGCAGTGTATGTGCTATATGAAAAGTACATATTTTACAATTCAGTACCTCCATAATAATGAATGTTTTTTATAGAACACATTCACCTTCTTCATTTACCAGTATTTGCTTATTATTTGGAGCTTTGTTCATATCAAAGTAATCTTATTTGGGTTAAAAAAAAAAAAAGTAAATGCTTTCATTAAAATATAGAATTCTCCAGGGACAAGAGTTACAGGTAGAAAAGACTGTTTTCAAATACAGCCTGAATCAACAGAATTTTAAAATACCATAAATGCTTTGTCTAGGCCTGGTATTCAGAAGACAGAACTGGTGAAAGGATTTGTCATGCCTTTTTGAAACCTTCACTATTTGCTTGAAACTGGATTAAAACAGTAGTGTCAGAAAATCATTTCTGTCCTGCTGTGAAACTAGCTGGACATAAGGACCCACATCACAGAAATTAGCATTATACTTAGAATGGTATATTTTAAAAAGCGCCCGCTTTCATCCCCAGCCTTCATTCACCGTAGCATTGTAGGGCCTGAATTCTCAATCATGCCAGTCTGGTAGGACTGCTGAAACTATGGGATGCCTCATGCAAATTTTAACTGTCTTTCCCACTATGTCACCTAACCAAGCATTAGTTAAGGTGTTTTAATAAACTAAAGCAACCTGAAGTTTCAGTAGTGTTGCAGCTTCATAACCCAGCAGTAAAAAACATCCTTGCTTGAGGTATATCTCTCTCAATGGAAGCTTTAGGTATTTGTGCCAGCTACCACCTCACCAAGCCCTGTGCAGCCACCTTTTTATGTAGGTAGGTATGCAAATGACTCCAGATTTTGCTCTCTGACCTCAGCCATAGCTTATTTCTGCCTAAGGCTGCCTCTGCTCTGTTTTTGACAGTGCTATGACCATAGGCACAAATTATCCTTCTAGCGGAAATACTGAAATGGCCAAAGTCTCGAGACCTGCAATGTATGTTTCACACATCATGTCCTTCCTCCTCTAGACTGAGATCTCCGCAGTTCCTCCAAAACCTCTGCAGTATCCAGCAATAGAGTTTAGTTTGAAGTAAAATTAGACAAAAACAAAAGGATGCACATAAAAGTAGACTTTGATCCTGATGCTATCTTCCATAAACAACAGCAACAAATCACAAGGCAGAAAAGAAAGGGTTGCTTCTCATCATTCAGATAAAATAACTTTGCTACAAACTTTGGAGGCCAATTAGATAACAGTAAAACCTGGATCTTCCAAATACCCGTTCTACTATATAAGGACAATATTTTCTCATTTGTTTTAGGGGAATATTGGATTGATCCTAACCAGGGCTGTTCTGGAGACTCCTTCAAAGTATACTGCAATTTCACAGCAGGTGGGGAAACTTGCATCTACCCAGATAAGAAATCTGAAGGAGTAAGTACATGGTTTCAGTTGGCTGTTGACAGATCCTACTATGCTGTTGCAATGTTGAACAGGATAATTACACTGTCACATTTTCATATATCTGTCTTTTTGATTACATTGAAATTTGCATAGATGTGAATGAAGTGGTAAAACGGCACATAGAGTTAACAAACAGCATTTTCACTCTTTGCTTAGATAGGGAATCTATGCACCTGCTTGCTAACCTTTCACTGCATTTCAGAATGCAACATAGCTGTGCAGCCACTTAAAGTGCATAATCTAGCATTTGACGCCTAAAAGCTAAACTCTTACTATGTTTCTCTTTTGGGTTCATTTATATCTATTTATTAATATCTATGCAAAGTAGATGTAAAACACTATATATTAACAGTGTTCTCATTCATTGCTACAAATTACCTCTGATGGGGCATATGGTGTAGAGGAAGGCTTTCTAAAAGCTTGCCTGAATGAGAGAGATCTATCAGCATCAATGTGGGTGAAAATTCTAGACACTCTTCACAGGAACAATTTATACCAGCAGTTTACCTGAATCTTAACAGATGATAACAGTCTCTCTTAAATAGAACTAGCTCTCTTTATAAGCTATCACCTTGGATTCCATTTAAAGTCACTAATTTGAAGGCGTTCTATACAAGAAAAACATCCTATTTTAGAGCTTTAAAGAGTCTGAGACCTCAGAAAGAAGAACCATTCTTTACTATCTGATGTAAAATTTGTCCCAGGTAATGTAAAACCTTCATATCTGTTAACATATGTTTTAAAAACTTCTACCTCTGCTGTTTTACCACACAGGTTAGAATTTCATCATGGCCAAAGGAGAACCCAGGATCTTGGTTTAGTGAATTTAAGCGAGGCAAACTTGTAAGTTGTCATCACAACATAATAGTTATTCACAAATCAAGTACATGTTATCAGCAATCAACAGATCCCAAGGAATTTTATAAATATTTAGATAATGAAAAGACTTTTTCGGCCCCAGCCCTTTTGCCCTAAATATTTGTGCAGCTGTATGGCCTCTTGCCACAGGACAGCAGGAGCCCACTCCGTACTGTCCCTCAGTGATCCCAGTGGTCACCTGGCACAGCTGATGGTGAGGACCTGGCTTCTGGCAGACCACACATCACCACTGAACCTTAGTAAAACCCCCGAAGCACAGATCCCCTGCCCCCATTCTAAGTAACTGGAAATATACTGAGTATGCAAAGATGAGGCTGCAGGCTGATATAACTTTATAATTAACTAAAAACAGATTCCCAAACAGATTCTGCTGTCTTACACTATATGGTAGGAGTAATTCTCTGTCTTTCCTATTAGAATGAAGCTAAAATATGTAGTTCTTAATCCTAAATATATTGCTTCCCCATGATAGTCTATTTACTGAATCATAGCTTTATTTAACTTTAAATAAAATGTTATATGTTGGTTTATTTTATATTAAGGATAGTTATGTGTTCTTTTGTCAACAATTTTGTTTTGCATTTTAACAAAGGAAATAGAGAAATATTCATGTAACACTTATATTTTCCAGCTTTCCTATTTGGATGTTGAAGGCAATTCCATTAATATGGTCCAAATGACATTCCTTAAACTACTGAGTGCCTCTGCCAGACAAAATTTCACTTACAATTGTCATCAGTCCATAGCTTGGCATGATGCATCATCTGATAGCTATGACAAAGCGCTACGGTTCTTAGGATCGAATGATGAAGAAATGTCTTATGACAACAATCCTTACATCAAAGCTCTTCATGATGGCTGTGCAGTAAGTAGTGGTTCAGAAGAGTCTTTACAAAACCAACCTGTCAATTAAAGTAGAAGTCAAACAAATTCATTTTTTCACAACTTTCTTTTGAGAAAAGCTTTCTAAACACTTTTAATAGACTGCCTTTTAGTAGATTTTTAACTAACACTAGTTCTTATCTAATTTTCATATATCTACACAAAAAAAATAACCACGAGCCAAGCAACAGAAACAGAACAAACCTGGCATGGATACAGGCTGTCAGCACTAATGTGCTGCAAGTAGACTATCTGCTAGTATGAGCACAATGTAAGAGAAGAACAGAAGCAAAAAAGCATAATCAGGGGAGGCAGCCCATCAGCAGAATATATTTATACTCAAAATCAAGGCATACACAGAATATTTAGTAAATACAGTAAAAGCATGTATGAACTAACCCATACGTAGGTACCCAAACACAGTGAATTAATTGCATAGTTTGCTATGTGACTTTGTATTTCCTTTTCTCATTTTTTGGTAGTCAAAGCTAGGTGAAGGTTGTGGATTGGAGCTTTCAGAATCCTCTTAGCTGGGCTAAGATCCTGGAGCTGTCTAAACATGCATCAGCTCTCAGACCACCTCTCCAGCAGGGTCTTTGTAGGCATAGCAACTGTTACCTCTCTTCAGAAACAGAATGGTTTGTACTGAACACTTTGAAACAAAGATGTCAAAGGAGCAAGTGACAGTTGAACCTTCATTAATTATTTGGGGTTTTGATATGAGGGGATTTTGAAGGCAGTTCCTGAGAAGTCAGTGATATAGAATCAGAGACCTGAAAATGCCAGGATACACACCTGGCTCAGAGATGCAGCTCAGATAGATGAAGAGTCTCCTCTCCTTGCTAATGAGATTCTAATACATAGCAGCTTCATGTCAGCCTTTCTGTATGTCCTGTATATTCATTTTGCTTTTGTTATCCACAGTGAGTGAGTGTAGAGCTCCAGAGAGAGCTGGAAGTGATTTAGGGTGTAACTCCATCACTAAACTGAGAGCACTCATACCAACACTGGATGCTCATCTAAACTCCCAAGACCCTGTTATAGCTGAAAGGAGTCTCAGCAAAATCTCTCTCTCTCTCTCTCTGAGAATCATTAAGGTTGGAAAGACCTTTAAGATCATCAAGTCCAACCAGCAACCCAACACCACCATGCCCACTAAGCCATATCCTGAAGTGCCACATCTATACAGTTTTTGAATACTTCCAGTGATGGTGACTCCACCACCTCCCTGGGCAGCCATAACAGACCATCTGAACGAAGCACTGTCCTGATAACTAACATCATGGTATTTAGAGGAGGCAGAGAGCCTTTGTTAGGAAGTAAGGGTGTGTCTTCAAACCTGGTTTCTGAGTGCATCAGCTGGTAGTCCTGTCAGACTACTACTTGTATGTCCAGACAGCTGCTGTAATATTTTGTGAGACGATTACAGTCTTTCTCCTTAGAAGTAGATCTCTCTTTTGTCTTTCAGAACTAACTAGTGATTTCTGTACAAGGAAGACATGCACACTGCTATAACAATATTGTTATTTATTAAATAGTATAGATGTGAACTCAGAGTTGTCCAAGAAACGTTAAATGTCTTAGGTAATTTTTCATTCGTAGGCCTGTTTTAGTAAGTCAAAAAGCTATGGGCTGATCTCTTTCTAAAATCAAAAACATTCAGTGTCACATTTTTAAAATGAAATCCTAAGAAAACATAAACTTTAGAGTTTGTAATATCTGGTGCATGAGGGGCCAATAATTTATAAATTCTATACTTCAGAGATAACCTATGAAGATCTACAGCACATGCTTACTTCTCTGATATATAATCATGTTTGCTTTTTTTTTTTTTTTTTTGCTTCTTTTTTAACAGTCAAGAAAGGGCTATGCAAAAACGGTGATTGAAATCAACACACCCAAAATAGACCAAGTGCCTATAGTTGATGTGATGATCAATGACTTTGGTGATCAGAACCAGAAGTTTGGATTTGAGGTCGGTCCTGTTTGCTTCCTTGGTTAAGCTTAAGACAAAATCAGATCAACAAAAATGTTGCACTTTGGTGCTACCAACCCACTTCATGCCACATGCAAGTTTTGAATAAGGATGGCATAGAAAATGTGTCTTGCTGTGTATGTATGTCTTATCTAGAAAGTAATTGTTGCCCTTGTAGGGCCAGAATCACATGACTTAAACTTATTTTGCAAAGATGCTGTGGCACAGACAGACAACATAGGGCTTACTTTAGGAACACCCCCCTTTGGATTCCTTTGGTGCTGTAAAAAACAAACAACATGGTGCTCCTTCCATTACAACAAAGAGGTGTTAAGAAAGTGTTTAATAAATTGTAATTATTCTATGTACAGTACTATACTGGTTTTTCTCTGTCCATTTCCAAAACTTGCATGTGTCTCTGAATTGCATCTGGCTCTAATTTTATAATTACAAAACTACATTGTCAATACTGTGTATGTATTCTGAAAAAATAAAGCTATAATTGCCAGTGAAGCCAATTCCATCTCTGATTAATAATAAAATCCCTTTGTATATATTGTTGTTGAAGAGATTTGTTATTTGAAGTCACCAACAAAACTTAAAATTAACTCTATGCCAGACAAAACCAGGGCAGGTGACAAAACTGGAAGATTTTGAGCAGCACACTCAAACAACTCGTTTTTGCTGATATCACTCTGTGATGATGAATTTCAATAATGAAAACACCTTCAAAGGTGCTGTGTTCCATGGTGCTATACCTCAGACTTTTTATTTTCTTTTCTAATTCCAGAATTTCATAAGATACCTGTATATACCTAAAATAAATAAGTTTATATTTTTGGGTGGGGAAAATATGTAAGAAAAACAACAACTTCTGTGTAAGAGATCTGTTAAAAATCTGTGTGAAACAAATTAGTCCTATATCTTTCCTTTTTTTTTTTAATCTCATCTGCATTTGTTTCCATTGTGCTTACTTGGGCTGCATAAATATTAAAACTGGATTCTAAACAGTTATTTATGGATTTTTGCAGTGTTTACTTAGATTTTTACATAAACAATGATGGATGTTTGCTTCCTGAACTGGATACTTAAAAGTTCCACAGAATGGTCCTATACAGTATTTGCCCATCCCATTAATATGAATTATTTTTTCCTGTTATTTCACCTGAAGGCCAGGGATGCAATATGTCTAGGTCATGTGATTCTACATAGTTGCTAAGCAACATAGGAGGGGACTGCTTCCTAGAGCGCTGTCTTTGACCCCAACTGTTACAATTTGCTATTCAAATCTCCCAAAAAAAAGTTGGTTTGGCCTTCCCTCTGAACATTTTATTCAGGTAGTTGGAAGTAGAAATTACATTTTAGCTTTACAACACACATCCTTTTGTAATTATTTTCCATAATATATGTAAGACTTGAAAAGAAATGTTTGTTTCTATTTCTTATAAATTGTTAAATTAAATAGTACTAGTTTCTGCTGGCTCATTTCCAACTGGTATTTTCTTATGCACATTTATACATGTAAAAGTGAGATTTCAAAAGTCAACTTCTTGCTGTTCATATTTTCTTTTATTTTTGAACCAAAGTTTGTAACTGTCACCTCAGAGGAAAATACAAATTTTATTAATAAAATCAAGTCTTGTCTACCTGGATTGGTCATTCTCTTTTCTCAGTGTCCCAAACTCACCCACTGTTATAACTTCATTCTGCTTCCAGACCATCCAGACTCAAAAAAAGTAATCTTACTACATGTCCTGGACAGCACAGCACCAGGAAGAGAAGTGTTAATAGAAAAGATGCCGATCTGGCCATTGGTAGTATGCAGCAAGGCCGATAATTTCACATTTAGTTTGTATGGATTTCTACTTGCAGCAGGCCACATAATACTATCAAACACAAGATAGGAACCCGATATTCTTTCCCCAGCCACTCTTACAACTTACAATGTCTGAGTGCTTCACAATCTCATGGTTCACAGAATCACTAAGGTGAGAAAGGACCTTCAAGATCATCAAGTCCAACCAGTAACCCAACGCCACCATGTCCCCTAAACCATGTCCTGAAGCGCCACATCCACACGGTTTTTGAACACTTCCAGAGATGGTGACTCCACCACCTCCCTGGGCTTGACCAGGCTTCCAATGCTTGACCACCCTCTCGGTGAAGAAATTTTTCCTAATATCTGATCTAAACCTCCCCTGGCGCAACTTGAGGCCATTTCCTCTCATCCTATCATTGTCCTATGGTTGTCCTTGTAGGATCCCATAAGGTAGGCAAATGACCCTATTTGTTGATGGGAAATGGAAGACAAGAACTAGACCAAGACCTAGAAACTACAGGAACACAAGATTTCCAGTACCTTGTTTTAGGTAGTGGAACAAGAACTGGTGATGGGTCCAAGCTAAAGACATGACATATGTCACCTCCTCCAAAACGGTTTATATTTTTTTAATCTGCTAACTGTTCTTTATGAACTCTGGTTATGTCCATGATAGCTGTGAAAGCAGCTCCAACAAGTTTGGCAGAGGAGCAGCTACTTCCTGCTGCTCAAGTGGGCTAGGTTAAGTTAGGTGCTGAACTGTTCAACCCTATCTAAAAAACCCAACACTTCTGGGTCAGGTGCCTTAGGGTGATTCAGGTAAAAAAATACAGACAGTTCTGATTTGGCAGTCAAGATCAGGCTGCAGGAGAATGGTTTTTCTAAGAGTGCAATGGTGTATGCAAGAAGCCAAAAGAACCCAGTTCTTTTCCAGAATTAAAGTATCTTGCCAAGGTTCATGTTGACATCATCCCAAAGGAGGAACTGAACTTGAGACTTCTACACTTCTCAGACAAGGACTCGTCAGGTTTATTCTTTAACCCTTGTTAAGGCCTTAGCCAGGTAACTTACTATTTATTCTTGTAATGAAAGCAACTCACCACCATTAGTTATTCTAACTCCCCTTTGTCCCTTCTCTGATTCAATGCGCTGTTCTTGTCCTCTCAAAGTTTCTGATTATGGGGGGAAAATTACCATTATATATTCTTGCCTTCAAGCAAAAATTATGCTACTTATTTTTCCCTTGACAGAAGTCTCATATTATCCACGCTTAAAAAAACCTCAAATAAACAAAAAGCATTCTTCAGAACAGAAAGAAATTTCACATCAGAACTCTCACATTAGTCTTTCTATGAAACAAACTGCAGACACTGTAGTCAAATCCTACTAGACATAAAGAACATAAAACCTCAGATTCATAATATGCTGTTACAAAAAAATACACACTCCAAAACTATGCAAGCTAAATTCCTTACTCAACCAGCCCATAAGAAAACAAGGATCAATAGTTTTCACACCACATTAAAAACCTGTGTAATAACAAAAAGATTGAAACCGCTACATGACATCTAGAGTTTACCTCTAGAAACTGACAAACAGAACTTGGATGTTCTGTGATCTTGAGGTTTCACCCTACCCAAGAGCAGACTGGGCAGTTTTTCTTGCAAGTGTGCTTCGAGCCCTTCTCTAAAGAGAGAAAAGCCGTACTGGAGATGGTATATGTTTTCTTCACTGCAAATACAGATGTTGCTGTCATGTTGCATGGAAATGGAGTAAGTAGGCACATATAAACACAAGCCAACAAATATTACCGATTGAGGCACTGTTCTGTCCAGAATAACATGGATACAGGATAGAGATTGAAATTGCAAGCTACGACTATAGAGGTATGAACTGTGCTGTGTATAGGTGTAGAGTTTCTTCTCTCCCTCTCTCCTTTCATCTTTTTAATCCAGGATAGGACAATATCAACTCATCATGATTGGCACATCTCTTGGAAAAGTTAGTAATATACTTTTTTCAGTCTAAGTGGGCAGTCATTATAGCTCATATCAACAGTCACCTTGTGACATAAAAAGCTACCATCTGTTTCAAAAAATAAGCATACTTAATTGCTCTAAGATTCTTCCCCTTGGGAAAAGCTTTGTTAATTTTAAAATGAAGCTTCACGTGCTAATGACTGGTAGGAGATGCCTTAATAGCAATCAATGTTCTATTACAAGCACACTCATTTTTCTGTGAATGAACATCTTCTATTGTACATGCACCAAAAATAACTTGAAAATGACAAAGACAGGATATTAAATGCCACGTCAATTATATTCACCTGGAAATATAATAGACACTCTTATTTGTGTTCCTTTTCTAGGCACATAAATTATCAAAGAGGCTCATTGTTACTTCAGTAAAAAGCAACACGAAGATTATTGCAAAGTAAGCTCCTCTAAAGCTATTTATTCATTTTGTTTTCAGTAAGGACATCGAAGATTATTACAGTGAAGAAGGCTGCGGCTGCAAGCACACCGATATTCAGACACACTGCTCTAGCCAAAATTGCGCTTGTTTTTTTTTCTTAGCTATGTGAATGAGGGCTCGGTTCTAATGAGAGAGGATGGAGTCAAAGCCTACAATGCTACCATGCACAGGTTTTGTCTAGGCTCTCTCAGGAGCTTTGCCAGACCTAGACTTTGTGTCCAGTTTCTCAAGGGTGGAGATGTGGTCTCCATCAAAACACATCTAACTTCAGTAAGACAGACAGAGTTGTTAAGAATTCAGCAGTGGGATTGGGATATCTGAGCAGTCTTTGCTGCTCCCTGGTGTGATACAAGAATTTTTAGCATCAAAAAGACATTTTAGCTAAATCTTGCTGAAGCATAAGAAAACCTCTAGCTAGCACAGTGATTAAAATGCAGATGAAAATTAACACTCAGTCTATCCAATATGCTGCCATTACATTACACACTACTAAAACATCATTTATACAAATAGGAGAGGACCAACCTGTCAAGGGCCAGTCAGTGGGGTATGATAAAATCCACAAATAAGAGTCAATGCATCTGTTTTCTCTTCCCTTTCTTGATGGTGCCAGTTGTTCTGTTCAAGCCCAGAGTTTACTCTCCAGGAAAAACCTTGAGTCTGTTATCTGATTTCCTTTTGTCGTCATTTGGTAATTTGCATTTTGGTGGATGATGCTGACTACTTGTTTGCTTTTCAATGTCTAGTATACATTTCATGAGCTATTACAATCTAATAGTAGCTGTACTTTTCAATTTCCTTATTGTCAGCCATTCGATGCTTAAGTGACTAACGTTATTGCTTTTTCTCATACTGAGCTGGTATTTTCAGAGCGGCATAAGGCTCAGCAAGGAAAATCGCTCAACCTCCTTCATGATTTTAAAACAAAAAACATCTGCCACAAACAGTGTCAATAAGTCCTCAACAGATAACAAGAAAATGGGAAATTAATCACTTTCCAAATGATACAGTAAGCAGAATAGCTGATGGATCATTTATCATAATTTCTCTTTCTATGTACATTAAAGAAGACTGGATCTAAGTACCTGTCAGAGCTCTTTAACAGCTTGCAAAGCCATCTTCTAATTTTGTGCTCTGGCCTTCGCTTTATGCCTTAAAAGGTGGTCAGTAAAATTACTTGCAAGAAGAAAACCAAATTAATATTTCTCTAGCCCCAGAAGTTCTCTAAACCCCCCCTTTGTAATGACTGTGAGATGCAAA